CGGGCAGAATTGCCAGTTTGTTCTATTAGGCATCGAAATTTTGAATTGAGAAGTCTTAGAGCTTTACAAAATGCAGGGAAATAGCAGTAGTGAAATATCTTACTAATAAAAGTAAGGTTGCTCCTGGTAAATCCTAGGAATTTTTTTCCTCTCATTTGATAGTTATAATTGTCATTTTTTTTTTTATTTAATATAATCAAGTTTAATAAATTCGTTAAGTATACAGACTTTTTGGCCCCAAATCTACGTATGTTTTTCCACTAAAATTGTCATTTTACTTAATATTAATGTTATGGAAAAATCATTTAATTGTTTAGAAAAACATCTGATTCTTATTGTATTAATAAAAGTAAGTTGCTCCTGATATATTTTTGAGATTTAATGGCATAATTGTTGGGGCATGTTATGGATAATAAAGAAGAAGATTCGTCAAACTTCTGACTTAACTGAGATAATATAAATATACAACCATATGACATCAAAAACATAAAGTTAAATTAATAAATATGGCTTGTGGATGGGGGATTATCATCAATACATATAGCAGTTTTTTTTCTCCTCTTCGTTCTCTTCTTTCTAGAGAGAGAATTCCTGTCTATCTCTACTACTAGGTTTCTTGCTATGTCACGATTCTCTATAATTACCTGTCGACTAAGTTTTATAGAGAATGGATTAGCTAGAGATACGAGATTCCAATTTAAATTACACTAGTTAAAAATATCTGTATCACTATAATTTGAACTTCTACATAGCTTTTCCTACATTTTTCTCTTTGAATGAGAGATGTCTTTTTCTCTCTGAATGAGATGATTTGTTTTTCCACGGAAGAATCATTTGTTAGGATTTCTCTTCCGCCGGCAGACCCGATCGTTTGACTGTTACAGATCTAGTTTTATTCGCCCTTGATTGTTTTACGCTAGTATTAATCCGTGTTTTTGTGTTTTAGGGTTTTCTACCTTGCATGCTTTATCGACTTTCCTATATCATCTAACCCTAGTATCGTCCAATCCTTTTTTAGTTTTTGCTTTTTCGCTTTCGGATCTGGTTTTGGGTGAAACTCGCTGGGTTTTCTTGCTATTTCATCCAATACATCATCTATCTCTCGAACACGCTGGAGGAGCTGACGGAAACACTTGCCACCCGATTCACCCTTACGCCGGAGGAAGAGGAGGGTCTCACTATTTCTCCATCTCAGCAGGATACTGGATCTGATGTAGGAGACCATCGGTTAGTGGGAAGGGTGGTGGCAGACAAGATCTATACGATGAACTCTCTTAAAGCTAATATCACTCGTCTTCTTCAACCTGTAAAAGGCTGCGAGATCCAGTCATTGGGGGACAACAAATTCGTGATTGTTTTCAATCATAAGTTGGATATGGCGCATGCGTTGGAAGGTTGTCCTTGGGTATTAGACAAGAATTCTCTTTTATTAAGAGCCATGGAAGTGGGAGCAGACCTGCATGAACTATCAGTGGACGTCGTGCCAATCATTATTCGTCTCCATCAAATCCCTATGAATCAGAGAAAGGCGGTGGTAGCTGCTCAAATTGGAAATCGAATTGGTCAGTTTGTTGAGATTGTGAAAGGCAAACAAATACAGTATGTGCAACATATGAGGATTAAGGTGTTATTTGATGTCCGGAAGAGCTTACGGAGGGGCATTTACCTGTATAAGGCAGATGGATCAAGGTTTTGCGTTTCTTTCACTTTTGAACGTCTTCCGAATTTATGTTTCTTGTGTGGCATTGTTGGGCATGGAGAGAGAAGGTGCCCGAACCGATACTCTGATGATTTTTTGGATCCTGGGGACCATTTCCCTTATGGACAGTGGCTTCGTGCCCCACAGTTTGGAGAAGACACGGTGTCCAAACTCCCTTTGCAAACTTTAAACTCAATGGACCACAATATAATTGGCAAAAGAATGGTCAACTCCCAACGAGGTATGAATATCTTCGAATTCTCATCCCATAAAGAGAATGGAGCCACATCACACAATACACAAGGAGGAAAGGAAAATGACTCGTTGGTATTTTTGGCAGAATCGAATCTGTTTAGCACGGGGTACAACTACTAACTAACGTAACCATTGTCCCAAACTCAAGAAAGAAAATAGTTATTCCTGACAAGAACCGTAAGAAACGTTCGGAGTCTCCACAAGTGTTGGAAAATAATAGCTCTGGGAAGAGACAACAACTGCGTCTGAGAGATGAAGAAGAAGACATAACGGCGGCGGCTGCAGAGCAGTCCCGCCGATCATTATGAGTTGTATATTCTGGAATTGTCAAGGGATCGGGGCGCCCTTGACAATTCATGCACTCGGAGATATTCTCCGAAAACATAACCCCAAATTGGTGTTTATTTCGGAAACGAAAGCAACATCATTGCATATAGATAAGCTCAAAAGTAAATGGAATTTGTTCGGAGTAGCGGTGGACAAGGTTGGACAAGGAGGTGGTTTAGCTTTTCTTTGGACCAAAGATACTACTGTAGAGTTACTGAGTCTATCACTTAATCACATTGACACAATAGTTAGTTGGCATAATCCAGAGTGTAAATGGCGAGTAACGGGCTTTACGGAATAGCGGATCAAAGTAGAAAGAATCAGTCGTGGGAGCTAATGCGCGCTCTTAAAGCAAGATGTTCGTTGCCATGGCTGATTGGGGGCGATTTGAATGAAATTCTCGATAACTCGGAGAAACAAGGGGGTAACCCACGTATGCCAGGCCTGATCGAGCATTTAGGGAGTCGCTGGATGAGTGCAGTTTGGTGGATATGGGATTTAGTGGATTCCCATTCACATGGTCGAATAACTGGAAAGCTCCGCACACGGTTAGATGTAGAATGGACAGGTGTTGTGCTTCGAATGCATGGTTGACATTGTTTCCTAATGCCCGAGTACAACATCTTGATAGTATGGGCTCGGACCACTCTCCACTTTTACTCTTCCCACATCATAATATCAGCAAGAAGGTTTTTCGAGGGAAACGTCCATTTCGGTTCGAGGCATTTTGGGCTGGAAGAGAGGAGTGCAAAGCTATCATTCATGATCGGTGGACTGAGTTTGGTGGTGCTGTCCCCTCTGAGGCTTTTGTCTCAAATGCAGAGGGTTGTCGACTAGCCTTAATCCACTGGGATAAAACCATTCTTCAAAAAACCGAAAGATCGAATTGCTTTTATTAAAGATCGGCTCGAACTTATTCGGCAAGGAGAACAAAATGATGAAGTTTTGGCAGAGGCTAATAAACTTAGGGGAGAGCTGGAGAAACTTTATGGGGATGAGGACACATATTGGAGACAACGGAGTAGGGTTCAGTGGATGCGAGAAGGAGATCGAAATACAAGATTTTTTCATGCTAAAGCTTCTACTCGGAATCGGGTTAATTCTGTGGAGAAAATCAGGGATAACTTTGGGCAATGGAAAAAGGGGGAGGATATTAAACAAGTGATCTCGAACTATTTTGAGCAAATATTCCAATCGACCAATCCGAGTGCTACGGAGATAGATGAGGTATTGGATCATATAGAGCCTCGAATCACCAGTGAGACCAACCGGAGCTTAAATTTGCAGTTCACAGCGGATGAGGTAAACCGGGCCATTTCTCAAATGGCCCCTCTTAGCTCTCCTGGGCCTGATGGTTTGCCTGTACTATTTTATAAGAAATATTGGCATATCATTGGTGCTAATATTATCTCATGTGTCCTTAATTTTCTTAATATTCGTGTTCTTCTTCCTTCAATTAATTCTACCTATATAATTTTGATTCCCAAAGTCAAACAACCTGAGAGAATTTCTGAGTTTCGTTCAATCAGCCTCTGCAATGTAATTTACAAATTGGGTTCCAAAATTATTGATAATCGTTTGAAACCCTTCTTGAGTGGTCTAATCTCACCTACCCAATCCTCCTTTGTCCCCAAACGGCTTATTACAAATAATGTCCTTGTGGCATTTGAAGTGAATCACTTCATCAGGTTAAATTCTAAGCGGAAAAGTAATCATATGGCGATTAAATTGAATATTAGTAAAGCATATGATCGGGTTGAATGGATTTTTTTAGAAAAAAATCTTCTTCGTTTTGGTTTCTCGCCGAATTTTGTTGCTCTTATTATGTTGTGTGTTAAGACTGTCTCGTTTTCTTTTTTGTTTAATGGCTCCCAGTTTGGATCGCTATTCCCAAGAAGGGGTTTACGTCAAGGTGATCCGTTGTCCCCGTATCTTTTTATTTGCTGCACGGAGGCGCTTATCTCTATGATTAATAAGGATGTGGAGGAGGGTAATTTACATAGAGTTCAAATTGCCCCTTCGGCACCTGTAATCTCGAATCTATGTTTCGCGGATGACACATTATAGTTCTGCGAGGCAACCGAGGATGATGTTGCGACGGTTAAGAGCATATTAAGCCAGTATGCAAGGGTCTCGGGGCAAGAGATCAATTTGGACAAATCCACTATGATGTTCAGCCCCTCAACATCGTTGGACAAGAAGCAGCTTCTTCATCAAGTACTTGGATTCAAAGTGGTTGATCAACATGAGAAGTATCTGGGATTGCCGGCCACTACGGGTAAGACCAAGAGAGAAATATTTTCATATTTCAGGGATAGGATCTGGAGCCGAATTAAAGGTTGGGGGAGAAACAATTATCGAGTGCTGGGAGGGAAGTTCTTATTAAGTCGGTTTTACAAGCGATTCCATCATACGTGATGAGTTGCTTCTTGCTTCCCAAAGGTCTAATATATGAATTGGAAACGGCTATTAGAAGATATTGGTGGGGTTCCGGAAAAAATCGGAGCATTCCATGGATTAAATGGAAGAAACTTTGCCAATCGAAGGAGTTTGGGGGAATCAAATTTCGGGAACTGAGGTGTTTTAATATTGCTCTTCTCGCCAAGCAAGTGTGGAGATTAGCAACGCAACCCGATACCCTCCTAGCCAGAGTATTTAAAGCTAAATATTTTCCCAATGGTAATGTGGTCACGACTGAAATGGGAAACATACAATCAATGACATGGCGAAGCATTGCTGAAACGATTCCCTATCTTGAAGCTGGAATTCGAATTCAGATATGAAATGGGAAGAATACTTCGCTTTGGGCGGACTGCTGGTTGATGGATAAGGGGTCTAGAAGGGTGCTTACTCGTAGACCAATGAATTCAGCTTACCCGAACTCGGTGGAGGATATAATCGATCAAACCACTCAATCTTGGAACACCCCATTGATATCGAATATCTTTTGGCCAGTGGATCGAGATCGAATTCTAGCTGTGACGATTGGCAGCTCTCATGCGCAGGACATAATGGTTTGGCACTTCTCAAAGGATGGTAATTTCTCAGTGAAATCATGTTGTCATCTCGTTCTTTCGATGATAAATATACGATATTTGAGTGAGGGGCTGATGTTGGGGCAAGTAGTGGGGGGTCGAACCAAAGATGGAAGGAAATTTGGAATTTGGAAGTTCCGCCAAAAGTAAGAACCTTCCTTTAGCGAGCATGTTCGGAGATTCTTCCTTGCAATGTTGAGCTGTTCCGGCATAAAGTAGTCTGTTCACCCTATTGCCCCTTTTGCAAGATTAAAGAGGAGACTAATCTGCATGCTTTTATTGAATGTGGCAAAGTACAACAGCTTTGGCAACAACCTCCGTTCCAACTATCTGTTTTTGATACTCGTGCAGCTGTGTGGAGTTGGGTTGAATTTCTTCGAACATCTCTATCGTCTGAATTATTCCTCTATGCTGTGGTTATAATGTGGAAGCTCTGGGACAACCGGAATCGTGAGTTACACGGTCAACGGGAGGTTCCGATCGGGGAGATAGCAAGTTGGAGCGCAACATTTCTCGACGCGTATAGTCAAGCAAAACTTTTGGACGAAAGAAATCGGCATTCAAACAACGTCATTAATTGGAACCCGCCCATGCCAGGTGTCATCAAGATTAATGTTGATGTTGCATTCTCACCGAATAAAGATTATAACGGTGTATCGATGGTGGCAAGAGACCATCGGGGTTCGTGCATATGGTGGAAAGTGAAGAAGATGGAAGGTAGATCAAATGTAGTCGATGGAGAGGCATATGCGGTTCTTCATGCTATTCGTGTTGCTCAAGAAAAACAATGGAGTTCGATCGTGATTGAAGGAGATAATCTGACGATTATCGAATCACTCCGGCAAGGCGAGCCATCAACCTCATCATTTGGGGCACTGATGGATGAATGTTTTCTTATTCTGAGCTCCCTTTTTTATTGTTCATTTTCTTTCGTTAAGCGCTCGGGCAATAAGTTGGCTCATGATTTAGTTAAGAACATTGAACTATTGGGTTGTGAGAGGTTTTCTCTCCCCCTAGAGTTTGCTTCTGAGTGAGGTAATATTATGTTATTTTCCATCAAAAAAAATCAATACATATAGCAAACATCAAAATAAATTGAAACTTCAATTTTGTCGTTTAAATTGAACTTTACTTTTGTATTAACTTTACTTCAATCTCGTGCATCGCACGAGCCAAAAATCTAGTCTTATTACTAATAACAGAAGGGTTCATGAAGAAACCCTAAAAAAACCCCACAAGGATAATTTTTCTTGCTTATTACAAGGTTATTGTTGTAAATATTTTATTTAATACATTTTAATAATTATTAATTAACCTTTTCATCTAGCACTTACAAAAGTTTTTAATAATATTTTAATAATTATTAATGAACTTTTTTATTTAATATATTTTCATCCTCCATCTTTTTACTTTTCTTTTCTTGATTTGTTTAAAAATTAAATTACTGACCAAATCGATTTGATTTCCATAAGTACTTTCATAGTAACAAAATTAAAGTGGTTACTAGCAACTCAATTAGATGGTTTTTAATAATTAAATTAATGATTCGTAGCAATCGTAAAAAAAAATTGATATTAAATTGGTTATTATTGACACTAAATTATAGTGACCATAAAAATTGTCGCTACAAATTTAAATTTTGGTTGCTACAAGATGTCTAACTATTAGTGACCACTTATAACTACCACATGTTCGGTGGTCGCAAAAAGATTTAACCTTCCAACTTTTACTACCAAATTACTTTTGGTCACTAAATGTGAATATTCAATGACCATTTAGTTATGGTCACTGAGAATTTAGTCACTGAAACTAGTTTTTCTTTAATTTAAATTCCCATTTAATTTTTTAATAACATGTTTCCTTCTTGTTCTAATTAATCTCTTACGTGTGTGTATCTTATATTGGTTTCAATTTTCTAATTTTATTTTTGGCGTTATATGAGATAATCCCCTTATACAATTCCATTAGAGGTTTAAATCCATATTTTTATTTACTATTAGGGATAACCCCTAATAGTAAATTTCGATGCTACAGTCGACACGACGCTTCGAAAAAGAAAATTTCTTGAGATTGTGAAAACGACTCACCTTAAATTTTTTCAGCCTTTTACATTGGTTGACAACCAATGTTTCGATCGAAGGACAATTCGAGATTATCGCCTCGAAAACGTCGTCCTTGATGCGGACTTGTTCGAGACAAAGTCATCTTAGATGCTTGAAGACTACAATCCTTTCAATAGCCTCTCGGCCCAACACGAAGCTCTCTACGTGCAAATCTTGGAGCGATTCGACTTCAAAGACTACAGAAGGCATATCGACAGATCCCAAAAAATGTTCCGAACTATTCGAAAAGCGTAGCTTCTTCACACCCGTAACCGTGGGTGCTCGAATCCATTTTTCGAGAAGAGAAACGAATTCATGATCCATTTCACGTAAGAATATACGGAGGTAAAACTCCTCTACACGCAACCTTTGATCGCAGTATCGCTGTAAAGTAGTATCCACAACTGAGAGAAATTGTAGGTTGTTACCTTTGAAGGTGTTGTCTGAAAAATCGAGATTGGGACAAGTGCACCAAATATTA